GACAAGTGGGAGAAAATATTTGCAACTTCTAGAAAAAGTACAGAATAAGTATCCAAAATTTATACCTAACTCATTTAAATAAATTTAAAAAAATAAGCCTAATAGTAAAATGAATACAGGCTATTAACAGATAAACGCATAAATACACACACACACACACAAATATGACTAACTCCAAAATTCGAATTAAAACAAAAATAATATGGCTTTTCACACTCACTGGCAAAAACAAAAGAATACATTAATATCAAGGACTGGTAAGGATGTAGGGAAAATTATAATCAAATATGTGGGTGGGAATAAGGGACAAACTTTCAAGATACTCTGAAGGGCAATTTGAAAGTAACTATTAAAATAACAATGTACATAATTTCTAACTGAGCAATTCTATTGTATTTTGTGGTATTTATCCTAGCGAAACATTCACAATTATGCCAAGAGATATGTGTTCATTGCTACGTGGTTTATAAGAGAAAAAAATGTATTAGCAAATGAGGGTCCATTATGAGAAAAAATGCCTAAGTAAAGTGGCATATTTATACTGTGAATACAAGCAAAGAAAGAAGCTAGACTCGTATGCAATATGGCTAGAGCTCCAAGAACTAATGTTGAATGACAGAAAACAATTTTCAGAACAATATATATGGACTTATACCACTAATATGAAAAAATACAAAGCAATGGTTTCTATGGATGCACACACAGAAACACACACAGAGCATGAAAAAGAAACACACTGAACACAGGTTATCATTGGAAATGAGGACAGTGAACAGAGATAGAAGTGGTGGATGGTTGGTTCAACGGGACTTAAAATCACAGTCATGTTTTTATTTTATCTCCAGAAGTTCTAGTTGGCTATTTTTCAAATCTTCTTTGTTTTCTTTTAAAAGCATAATGTTCATTTCTCATGTTTCTCATGTGTTTAATATTTCTTCTTTTATGTCCCTACCTAATATTTCTAGGATCTGTAGCTCTGGAATGTCTAATCCGATTGCTCCTTAGCTCTCAGTGTTAGGATTTGCTTTTTTGTTTTTTATATTTCTGTTGTGTGACATGTTGGGGCATGTGTCAGTAAGGATTGCATAGCCAGGGTGGACAATGGATCTTTCCACATTTTTCAATTGCTTTCCTGTAGAAATATGGGTCATTTTTGTGTTATTTCTCAACTTTGAGGCTGGACAGACATAATGCAAGTAATGTAAATTTGTGATCTAAACCTTGTTGAGAGCAGGCCCATGTCTTTGAACAATCAGGGGAATCTTTGGGGGTTTGGGGTGATAGTTTTTGGTTGTTTAAATTTTTAATATTATATTTAACTGAGAGATAACAATGGAGTTTTTTGTTTTCAATACAGAACAAAGCTTTTCAAAAGTCAACTTGTCATCTTATACTGCCTGCTGATTTTTTTTTCCCCCTAGGTCAAAGCTTTCACTGTCTTTGTAACCTAGGAAGCATCAGCTTTCTGGAGGTTTTCAATTCCAATTCCCCTCCCTGCATGAATTCAAGGCCTTGTTTTTATATTTCTGTGACTCTTAAAACTCAATTGCCTAAGCAACAAACACAGGAAACCTAACACAACATCAATTCAGAGGTTTGAGGCCCTAATCACCAGTTTTGGGCAGTGGAAACTGTCTTTACTTTTGTATACTTAGCTATGTATTTAGAAGAATGTTTTATACTATATTTTAGCTATTAGTAGTTGTGGAAGGAGGGTTTTCAGATTCTCTTATTATAATGCTGGAAATAATATTTGAATATTTTAAAAATTGAATTTATCTTTACTTATGTAGTTAAAAATTGATTTAAAGAAACAGTTAACTCCTATCAGAGAAACAAAAACAGTGCTTCTCTAAATGTGTTTTATTGATGATGTGGCTTTTGACTCCATCAATTCTCAAATGTAGGAAAGATGATGAGAACACCAGCAGGATGGAGGGAAGAGATGGGTCCCCCTTACAGGTCCTGTGCCTGTGACTCAACACCATCATCCAACCTTGTGGTAAGATTCTTTATTAAATGTTAACCATGAAGACATATTAAACCATATGTCTTCCCATGATGGGAGGATGGGAAACATTTGCAGGGCTCTCCCTTTTTAGGTATAGAACAGTGGGGATAATTTTCAACTGGGGATAATCTTGTCCCCTGGGGGACATGTGGCAATATCTAGTGATGTTTCTGGTTGTCAAAACTTAGCAGGCCAGGAATGCTAACCATCCTACAATACCCAAACAGCCCCCTGCAATAAAGAATTATCCTGCTCAAAATGTCAGTATTTCCATTAATGGGAAACCCTGATGTAGAGCAAAAGTCACTGGCAGCCACTGCCGCTTGTGTTGCACTTTCTCTTCCTCTCACTCTCTGTGAACGTTAGGACTCACAATTTTTTCTCTGTACATCAACAGTCTATACATCAGATTTGATGAATGCCTCTAAAAAATATATCATAAACAGTTACACCTCATTAGAATTATTCTAGAATCTCTGCAACAAAGTGTCTAAACAGCCACAAGCAAGAACTCTTGCTTCTTTTCCTCTTCTCAATCACCTGACCCTAGAATCTGAGCAGCCATAGGTGGCCTCTTGACAGCCTGGTTGCAGGCAACATTGCTGTCCTTCCTTACCTTGACTAACCTTTCCAAACCTTACATTGTGCCTTAATCTGTCAATCTGCATCTCCAATGTTTGCTTATGCTACCTCCCTGCCTCATGAGGACTTGGCCAGGACAGCTGCTCACATCTCAGCATGGTAAATAAAATGTGACACTGAGTCAACATGGGAGAGCTGATGCCAATACTACCTGGCTAGTCAAGAAAACCATCAGCTATTTTGACTTTATTCTCTGTGGCTAAACTACAACACACCCATTGAGACACTCAACAGTAATATGCAGAGGGGAGAAAAACTAAAATTAACAATACAGAAACATGATACATGTAAACCATTAACTTTAATTGTGATAACACAATGAATTCTGAAAACTATTGACATTGGGAAAGTTCATATAGTGATTTAAACATAGTCCGTTATCAAAAGATAAGTTTTTAAAACCCAGAAGTGGCAGGGTTTTAATACTTTTAGTTTTAGTCAAGTCAGTTATGCTTTCACAAATTCATTATTAAACAAATGCAATTTCTAAGACTAACCTTTTCAGAAATAAGGCAATTAAAATAGCATTATTTTCATAGTCATCCTTCTTAAAATAGATATAATTGTTTTTAATACTGCTGTTCAAAGAAATGAATAATTGGGTACTAAGAAAGGCTGCAAAGCTAACAATAGCATAGACTGCCTGGGTTCAAAACCACAAGCTCCAACTTAGGACCTATGGTTCTGCTCAGTTCACTTCATTTCTTTGTGTTTTCGTTGTCTGCAAATTACAAATAATAATAGTACTCACCTCATGGGATTGTTATAATGATTAAGTTATTTTTAGAAATATGTACATGGTACATAGTTGACATTATGAGTTTGTAAAACAAACAAGTCAATGCATGCAGACAGCATGATCAGGCTGTGCTGTGGTCAGCCAATTATGTCCTGAGTTTTAATGCTTGCTTAGATTTACAGCAAACTCAAGTTCAAGAGTCTGTGAGGAAGAGAAAAGCCTGACTAAAGTTTGATCAATCAAAGGTAAAGGTAACTAATGGACATTTGTGAACAATTGGTCTCTTTACAGCGGTAGGAATACTGGTTTTACTAGCATTATTAGAATAAAAAAAATAGGAGTTAAACCCTTGAAACAAGTTAACTAAATAAGCAGCCTGGCATCAATTAAAATGTCCATTTCTTGCTTTTGCCCTGAGGACTGACCCTTTATTTCCAGGCCCCAGCTGTACTGCATAAGTAAGAGGTGCCCTGCTGCCAACACTGCCAGGCTAGTTGAAGAATTTGCAAACTTAATGTCTCACAAAAGTCTCTCTCTCTCTCTCTCTCTCTCTCTCTCTTCTCTCTCTCTCTTTCTCTCTCTCTCTCTCTCTCTCTCTCTCTCTCTCTCTCTCTCTCACCTCCAGCTTTGCATGGACAATAATATGAGAAGTATTTCATCCTAACAAAGGCAACCAACAACTAGAACATGCCAAAAGTCAAAGAACAAGTAACAACATAGAAGTGTTGCAATTATTTTTTACAAAGTAAGAATGAACTACATATATTGGAAAGAGACATTTGGAAACAAACAAGGGTTGCACAAAGTTATAAAAATGTTCCACCAAGAAGCACAGTGCAAACATTCCATTGGCATCAGATTGGGAAATATACAGGCACACACACACACACACAAACACACACACCTATTCATACTAAACAGAAGTGAAGAAACAGTTCATAAGCCTAGAGGACAGTTAAAAAGTAGATATATATTTGCAGGAAAAGTGATCATTTTTTAACAAACAGGTTTATAATATTTTAAATTCTAATTATACAATTTTACTACTGTTACTATAACAGATTAATGACTCTTATGAATTGAAAAAGCTAAGATTACTTTTGAAATACTGAAATCCAAAACTGTGAAAGAAAAAGCAGAGCTCAGTTTAATTTTGGAATTCTTTGCCTGTTTTTCCATAGCACCATCATTGACTCATTTGATATCATCTTTAATTTCCCTGGCTAAAGGTTTTCCAGTAGGAGAGATGAATTATCCTCTTGATGTAGAGTGATGTTAATGGATGTACTAGCAGGAATTGACAAAAACGTAAGACTATCTGCAAACCAAAATTAATCCTCTCTTTTCTCAGGTATCCCTCTTCTAGGGACCCCTTCTTAGCCCTAACATGTCTGGAATGACTTCCTCCTCTCTCTGCACCCAGAGCACAATGTCCTGACCACATGAGATTTTCATCATACTATAATTATATACAGTAAGGGTGTTTCGCCCACCAGACCATGAACAGGGATTATTAGCACTTCACACAAAGCAAACAGTAATGGCTCAGTTAAAAAATTTTTTAAATCTTATTTTGACATTGTCATATTTGAAACATGATATACTTACCAGTCAATGATATGTTATAACTCTCCATGGAAAGGTTATTGTATTTTTCCATCATCTCTTCTTGGACAGGTAGACTTGTAAAAGGTGAATCTGTAAGACAAAGAACATGGGATTACACATTCTTACAAAGGCTAAATGACTACCTAAAAGCCCCTTTGCAACAACTAAAATGTTATTGTTTACTATGAATGAAAAACAGTGTTTTCAGGAAGCTCTAAATCTTATATGCCACCAAGATATTCAGAAATATATTGTGCTATTAAATGTTACAAAATTTCTGATTTTCTACATCCTTCTTTTACCTAAAAATCTCTACTGATATATATCAGATGGCTTTTTAAAATAAAAACTTCCATTTTCTTATTCTACAACTATAATTGCTTTACAAAACATAAATGAACTATAGACACAGAGGAATTAGACAAGAGTGCCAGAAAAGTGAAAGACATGAACAGGCAGAAAAGATAAGAGAACAAAGAGGAACAAGCACACTGCAACACAGGGCATGAAAAATTCAAAATAGAAAGCACTGGACACTAGGGCATACAGAAAAAATAATTGCATGGTGAGTTTAGGCTATTTGTTTTCCAGCTATGGTTACAGTGAGGCAAATCCTCTAAGCATCTGAGTTTCTTCTTTCACTTCTCTTTCCTTTGGAAAACTTTCATTAAAGAAACAAAGTTTTCCCTTTCCACCTCTGTCTCTCTTCTTAAAGCTTCTTTTCATACACTGTCTACTGTTCCTTTGACTTTGGGGCCCCAGACTTTACCTCCCAAGCTTATTATCATAAACTTGGCTGCATTCTTTAAATGTCCCATTCAATGTAAATTAAACCTGAGCCTTTTTTACTGCACTTTTTGTTTAAATACTCTGCTCAAAAAATTATTCCTAGTGTAAGATTACATTACCAGTTCTTTCTTTTCTTATACATATGAAAAATGTTATCAAAGTTGGTGATTGCTTTTGTTGCTTTAGCTCTATACACGCCTTTTATAATATTGCCTAATAAAAAATGTACCTAGCAGTACGTAACTCTCCAATAGGCTGTGTTCCAAAGGTCTAATCACCTCTCACACAGCTTTGAAAGTTGGAATGCACTTTCTCATAAAATAATCCTTTAATACTATACTTAAATCACGCTACCCTCTAACAGTGATTATATAGGGAAATACATTGTAAGTTTCTCCCCAGGCTATCTGGAATGTGAAATCTTTCCTCCACCCATATCCAATATTCATTCATTCATATTCATATTCTCCTTCCCCTCCCACCTCTATCCCTCTTTTTCTTACTTTTACTCTGAAACACACATATACACACACATACATACTGCTAAAAAGGCTCCCATCAACATTATTTTCCTAATGAAAATTCCATTTTTAGGGATAGCTCACTCCGAGGTTGTATTAAAGAGAACATTTTTACAGAAAGATCAGGGTAGATGCTATTCACTTATAGATAGAAAGCCAGAAGGGGATGGATGGGAAAGAAAGGGTTGCTCTATATCATCTGTTCTGTGAAGCTTGCAAAAATGTAAGCTTTGATACCTTTGCTTCCTTGCTAGGTAGTACTCCTTCCTTGGCCTAGCCCACTATAGAGCAAAATACAATCTTGAGGGTTATTACCATACACTTTATTCCTGAAACAAGCCCATAATTCTTTTGAGATTATCCATCATCATTTTTTCATTATTATTCACACAATCAGTAACAATAAGAGTGACATAAACTAAAAAAAAAAATGCTTTCTGTCATTCTTATTTCTATTTCACTTAAATGAGGGAATATATAGAACACCTGATACATACTTGATGCTGATGAGAGCATGAAACTGAGTAAACTTGGACCCTAAAGGGCTTTGTGGATTATAACGATAGGGGTTTAGGCTCACAAACTTGTGATCAAGACTCATTACAATTTCAGAGCAACACCCATTCATATACTGCATTGATGATAAATAGCCTGTATATTTTATACAAATTGGCACATAAGCTACAGTGTGAAGCCTGACCCTGGAGGTGAAATGAAGGTAAAGATAATGCCACAGAGATGAGCTCTGAGGCTGGGGCTATGTTCCCATTGCTGGTCACTAGGACCTGGTATGGACTGGCCCACCTGGGACTAGTATAAGAACAAGAAGAGAAAGGGGTTCTAAGCTTGCCTTGGGCAAAATCTCAGCTTACTGCAGTTGGAGGAATAGGAAAGGAAAGAGAAACCAAGCTTCAAGAGGTAGGAAAGTCTGAGTAGTTCCAGAATATACTAGCTGTTTCCAATTGCCATTTCCAATTGCCAGTTCACATATTAAAAATACAATCATTCCTAAACCAGACACCACCTGTACCCTACCTTCATATTCCCTTTGAAGTATCTTGATCAGGTTCCAGTTTCCACTGAACAATCCCGAAATGGAAAAGAACATGTATAATGTGGTGATTTTTTGCCTTTGGAAAAGTCCCTTGAAGAGGCAATATACACAAATGCCTTGGTGGGGGGAAAGCTGGGCAGTCTACAGAAGGTGTTAGGATAGTAAGAGTGAGAAGTTATTTGTTTAGGCCAGATATTTTTAACTAAAAAGTGAGAATGTAAACCTTATTCCTTTCAATTAGAGGATGGTTGGCAGGTGGCTGATTCGGCTAACGTTGGAGTTTAAAAGAAATTGGCAGGAGATTCAGGCAGATGTGGTCTGAATACTTCCCTGAAGGGATTACACTGAGTCACAAAAAGAAGTATAAAATGGAGAGGCAGGAATTCTGGGACCTAATCCAAGTTCTGTCACTGACTTGTTACTTGGGGTTTCAAAATATGATACACTCAGCTTGGGCTTTGACAACATATTTCCACTGAAAACCTCAGTTCATAGGGAAAAGAAAGGAGGATCAGAAAAGTTGCATAAATATGAGTGCCAAGATTATAACATGCATTCATCAAGTTATCATACTCACCCCTGTCTTAATCATTGCTGAAAAATTTCCACCTGGCATTCATTTACAGGTAGTCGCAAAAATGCTAACATAAAAGAGTAATGTCAAATAGTTGTTCTAGAGATTAATAGAATTTTTTTCTCCTTCTGCAGAGTAGATAAAGCATGAGACTTCTGCATCAAAGAATTGAGTAAATTCCTGATTTTCACCTATTATTGTTTCATGTGAAATAGCAAAATGGTCTCTGTTTAGATGTTTGTCACAAGTTACATTTTAAAATAGGCACTGCTAGAAGAGCTTATAATTTATGCTGTTAACATGTTCAAATAAAATAAACATGCTATAATTCCACTCAAAATATTGAGATAATATTCTTACATATTTCATTTGGAGTCTTCATTTAACTGAAGTAAATTGGAAAGAAAAAAGAAGATAAATAACACTAAAAACTGCACTGGGTTTTAGGATTTGCTTTTATTTAAATCAGGAAATAAATTCGACTATACCTCCAATTAAGGATAAACATTCTATCTAAATCCACCCACCCCACCACCACCTATCCCCACAAAATCTCTTCATTGTATTTTAAAATCTTGGAAGGGTCTGGACTTCATTAAGAAAAAGGTGTAAGAAGCAGATATTATTAAAATAAATATTCTCTTTATTCCTTTCATCTGTATATTGATTGTTATCAATAAGCATAATTTAAATTTAAATTTTTAAAAAATCTTAATTTTAACATTCGGATATATAGAATTATAAATGTGCAACAGAATTACAGAAACACTACAACTTAGGAATGAATAATATACACTATCTGTAAAATGGAGGTCTGGAAATCAGAATATACTTCTTCTTAAAAGCTGTATTATATACACCATGAGATGCCATGCCAAATTGTAAAAGCCATTTAAACCAGGATATGGCTAAGTTATAGCTTTAAATTATTTAATAATCAAGTAAAATATTGCCTATAAACAATACATTTAGAATTCTATTTCTGGATTCTAGGAATATAGCATTCCTATTCCCTGTTCTTAACTGCACTAAGAGAAAGAAAATAAGGGGAATAAGGCTACTTTTAGTTCTGGAAATTATTCTTCAAAGAGAGTGCATCACGAAAAGAAGAAAGAAAGATTGTCAAGAAAATTCGAGTCATCCTGATGGGGCCAGATTTTCTAAGGGGCAGATAACAGGAGATAGGGAACTCTAGATATTATACAAAATGGGAACTATTGGATAAGAAGGTCATTTATAGACAATTTTTTTAAAAAATGGTCTAATGATAAGCATGATATTCACTTTTTATTATTATTAATACTAGCTTTGTAAAACTATTTTTTAAAACCTGACCACAGAGGAACAGAAATGGATTGATTTTTTCATTAAAATACATTTTGCAATAAAGTACATTTCGAAAGTTCAGTGTGGAAATTCTCATGTTTCAGATCACCTCTATATAGGTCATATGATACTTTAACAGTAAATCTTATACCAAATAAAACTCTAAAAAAATTAAAAACTCAAAAGTTTAACTAAGATGTCTATTCTTTCTAAAGACAATAGATTTTTTAAATGTTCCACTTGCTAGGTTAGTCTTTGATAAGACTTGGAATTTGTTCAGTGGCTCTCAACTAGGGGTGACTCTGCCCCACAAGGGACATTTGGCAATGTTTGAAGGCATTTTGGTTGTCACAACTGGGGGAAGGTCACCTGCTTTTATTTAGTAGGTTGTATTAATTTCCATAACAAATTATCACAAATTAAAAAATCACTACGAATTTGGTGGTGAAAATAACAGAAGTTTATTTGTACACATTTCTGGAGGCTAGAAGTCTAAAATCAAAGTCTTAGCAAGGCCATATTCCCTGTGAAGCCACTAGGGAACAATCCATCTCTGCCTCTGCCTAGCACCTAGTAGTTGCTAGCAATTATAGCTGCATCACTCCAACTCCTGTCTCTGTCATTGTCCTTCTGTGTGTGTCTGTATCTCTATATCCACATCTCCCTTTCTTTTCTTTAAAACCACTGTCATTGGGATTAAGGTTTACTTTAATCTAGTATGACCTCATTCTAAGTTATTACATCTGCAAACACCCTACTCCTAAATAAGGTCACTTTCACAAGTACTAAAGGTCAGGATTTAAACATATTTTAGGGGAACAAACAA